GCTTCCCTCTTGAACATCGGGTCAAACCCGATTACTTCCCAATCCTCAGGCTATTAACGTGTGAGTCGCCTCGCAGCAACTAGGTGCTGATTACGTCTCCTCGTAAGGTGGCTGCTGCTGCAGGGGTTCTCAACGGTGTGTGATGCGGGGTTTGTATCGAGGCTAAATCAAGAGGTTTATTGGGCGAGATAAACGCCGTTGACCAACTCTGGAAGCGGTGGTCAAGGGGTGTGACGACGCAACCTGTTTTCAAATGAGACAAGAATTGTGTGGTGAACTGCTCTTCGCGCATTTCTGTGCCCTCGTATATTATTCTCAGTTAGGTGAGGATAGGAATTAAATGAACTTGCAGTACGTGGGTATCTTTATTTTGATGACGTTTCGCCAACTACTGGATTTAAATAAAGATATCCAAAATTTGTGCATATGTCTAATTCCTCTTCTTGTCGGTATTGTATAAGGTATTTATAATAACTAGTTACGTTAGGTTTATTTAGGTTAACGAATATTAAGGTATAATACTTGACAATAACAAAATTAACGAAAAAAACATGGCTTATATATGGCAGCGCAAAGCATATTGTGAAATCTGAAGCGTGTATTTTTGGCAAAAAAAAAAATAAGGATGGGTTGTATGAGTGGATCAACCTTTCCTCTATATACACGGTTTTCTAACCTGTTCAAACTTTGTATATAATGAGAGTTTATCTCACCGAAAGCAGCAGTGTATTATACACCTGGAATGTGGTGTATATCGGTGTGTATATACTTTGAATTTAATACCCTGAGAGGTTTGAATCTCGCGATGTATATACACCGATAGGTGTGTATCGCCCAGTGTAAATACGCCGATATGTATGCATCTTCGGGTGTATATGCATAGAAAAGTTTGTATTTCCCATTGTATGTACACTAAGTTTGCTTTAAATCCTGTTGTGAGAATGCGGGTCTGTAAGCCCGTTTTTCTTTATAATAAAATAATAATAATAATAATAATAATAATAATAATAATAATAATAATAATAATAATATTATTATTATTATTATTATTATTATTATTTTTATTATTATTATTATTATTATTATTTTTATTATTATTATTATTATTATTATTATTCATCTATGATATTTTAATGCCCCTGTACCACATTTGTGTTGAAAATAATTTTAAACACTGTGTACCGATTGCTGAAGTTCATTCACATTTTCGTACTTTGGACGGTAAATAAACGTCAGTTTTGTAAAGTAGTTTTTATTAAAGCATACTTTGGTTCTTTACCTTAATTGTGAGTTATTTCGAGGACTACCTGTTTCTCGGGAAGACCTTCGTGCGGTCGACTGATTTTTATACCTGGCAAAGTAACTAGATTAGCGTGACTTAACTCACAGCGTTACAGTTGTTAGTGGGTACACACACACACACACACACACACACACACACACAGCACGCTCAACACTTCACACTTTCCACACACACAGGCTAAACACCTTAACCACACCATATACCTTCAACACACCCCTCCACACACCACACTCTACACCACACTCCATACAAGCACCGTCAGAAACACTGAAGACATGCAATCCAAAATATATTCAGTTAGCTGAGACAACACACAAGACGTCTCCACTGTTTACGGATCTATCTCCCGTATTTATATAATTGTATTTTTATGATAGTCAGGAGGGTGTAACAGGCATTGCTAATTAGACGGAGGTGGCAGATTACAAGGTTTATCTCATTCTGGCACCACCAAATTTGCATGCAGGGTGAAGAGAGGGCTATAAGTGCTTGGGTGAATTAGGAAAAGAATAGATTATATTAGACTACATTATACAAGCACACACACACACACACACACACACACACACACACACACCAACACACCCCACACACACACACACACCACACACACACACACACACACACATACGAACACACCAACACAACACACACACACACACACACACACACACACACATACGAACACACACACACATACACACACACACCCCACACACACACAGGAGGCTGGGAAGAAAGCTTGACCAGGCAGGAATCAGGAGGGAATGCACTAAAGTGGAGTATTTTGTGGGAAGGAACACTTTGAATATATATTTATATATATATACATATACATATATTTTATATATATATATAATATATATTTTATATATATATATATATATATATATATATATATATATATATATATATATATGTCGTGCCGAATATGTAAAATGGTCAATTAGCAAGAACTCAATTTAAAATTAAGGGCCTTTCTGAAAATTTCTCTTATACGTTTAAAGATATATTTTTTCATTAACGTTAATGTAAAAAATTTTAATTTTGCAAACAATAGAATCTTAGAAAAAACTTACCTAAACCCTTTTTATAACAAAGAGCCATTTATTTTAGCCTAACCCAACTAAATATATTTTAGATTTTGTTTTTCAGTAATTTAATACTAAACAAACACAGTGAAAAAAATTTTTTTTCGTTAGATTCAAAACGATTTTGGCAAATTACTGCAACACAAATTTTCACTTGCCTTTTGGCAAAAATTGAGTTCTATTTAAACCAGATCGCAAGTTCTTGCCTATTCCACGATAAAAATATATTATATATATATATATAAAATATTAAATATAATTTATATATTTATAATTAAATATATTAAATATATACATTATTCCATTGGTACAACTGGATTGATAGTCTGAGCACCTCGAGGTTTTAGCAATTCGTGCTTCGCGAGGCCGTTCTCGGGGTATGTGCAACTATAAGGGCTGGGTTATTGTCGAACCTAGCAAAAATCCTTCATGTGGCTAAATATTATATATTATATATTATAATATATTAAAATATATATATTTATAATATATAATAAAAATATATTATATATATATATTATATATATATATATTATATATATATAATAAAATTTATATATAACTACACTGCCATAGCCAAGGATCAACCATCTGTTTGGCCCGCTGCTCAATATAGTGTGATAAAATATAATATATATATATATATATATATATATATAATATATATATATAATATATATATATAATATATATAATATAATATATAATATATATATATATATACCTCCACTAGACCTCTGGTCCACACCTCTGCTTAACATTCCCTCGCTTCTTGTTCTTGCCGTCAACATTACAATAGTCAGCGGTTATTTATGCTCCACCTGACACAAAACAAAAACACTCAAGGGTAAATACATTTGTCTCTTGTGATTGTTTGTCTTATCTTTCTCTCTCTCATTCCTGTATTATTTACCTTTGTTTTAGTTTTATATTTAATGTGTAAGAAATCAAACAAGCCAGTCAATTGCTTTTGTTACTTTTATATCTTACAAAAGATGAGTGAATCTTACAACGAGAATCTGTTACACTCAATTAAGCACACCAACGAATATTATTAAGTTTCAAGAAAAAGATTACTTAGTTGTCTGTTGGAGTGATGATAAATATCGTTTTAGAAGTGATGCGTTTAGTTCTAGAAGCGATACATATCGTTGGAGAGATGATGACACATTTTAGCAAATCTGTCCAGGACACACATGAAGATTGATCATTAGAGTTATGGGAAAGCGCTAAGCCCGTTGGAAGAGGGGTCACGCAGCGCCTGAAGAATAGAAGGCAAATCAATTTATTTCCTGGAAGTAGCTCCAACTCTTTGATCAAGAGCCCTTTGCAATCATCAAGGGAAGAATGAAGGGAGAACTGAAGTATAAAAGAAAAACCTACACACTTTTCGGTGAGCACTTCTCATACTCGTTAGAAAACCGAGTCCAATAAATGGCCAAGTCTTCCAGTATGAGAGAGAGTTACACCATCAGCAAGACTCCTCGACACATTTGCTTCCATAAATGGGTAAAACACATTTTGAGAGCCAGTTCATCATACCAGTATCCTTCACACCTGTCCCTCCACACCTGTCCCGCCAAACCCGTCCCTCCATATACACGCTCCTCCACACCTGTCCTTCCATATCCATCCCTCCACACCCACCCCTCCTCTCCACACCCTCACCGACAATACTGGTCAGACAACACTAATTGAAATTCGTGGACCTGCTGGGAATTTTTGATGGCTTGCCTGAGAATCTTTTTATATCTGTCTAGCGTGAATGCTGGCGGCCTTTTATAGCTTCTAACATTAATAACTTCTGTGTTTTACACTGAGTTAAAGTAAGATTCCTGTCATGTAGTTGAATGAGCATCACCCTGTCATGTAGTTAATGTAGCATAACCCTGTCATGCTGCATTTGTAGTACTGTTGCCTTGCCGTGCTGTAGTTGTCAAGTGTAGCTGAAGTCGCATTCCCCTCTATTTTCAGACGCAGTTAAATGACCATAGTCTTTTCTTGTTGTACATGAAGTTCCATCGCCCTGTCATGTTGTACTTGAAGTAGTATCACACTGTCATGCTGTACTTGAAGTAGTATCACACTGTCATGCTGTACTTGAAGTAGTATCACACTGTCATGCTGTACTTGAAGTAGTATCACGCTGTCATGCTGTACTTGAAGTAGTATCACACTATCATGTGTACATGAAGTAGATCACACTGTCATGCTGTACTTGAAGTAGATCACAACTTCATGCTGTACTTGAAGTAGTATCACACTGTCATGCTGTACTTGAAGTAGTATCACACTATCATGCTGTACTTGAAGTAGTATCACACTGTCATGCTGTACTTGAAGTAGTATCACGCTGTCATGCTGTACTTGAAGTAGTATCACACTATCATGCTGTACTTGAAGTAGCATCACACTATCATGCTGTACTTGAAGTAGTATCACACTGTCATGCTGTACTTGAAGTAGTATCACACTGTCATGCTGTACTTGCAGTAGTATCACACTGTCATGCTGAAACTTGCAGTAGAAATCACACTGTCATGCTGTACTTGAAGTAGTATCACACTGTCATGCTGTACTTGCAGTAGTATCACACTGTCATGCTGTACTTGAAGTAGTATCACACTGTCATGCTGTACTTGCAGTAGTATCACACTGTCATGCTGTACTTGCAGTAGTATCACACTGTCATGCTGTACTTGAAGCAGTATCACACTGTCATGCTGTACTTGAAGTAGTATCACACTATCATGCTGTACTTGCAGTAGTATCACACTGTCATGCTGTAGTTGTCTGGTGTAGTTTATGAAATTAAGTTCTGCCCTGTAATACCAAACTGTATTTGATAATATACGATTATTATTATACTCAAAAAAAAAATACATAAACAGTTCGTGAACATTTGGTTTAAACCAGACAAATGATAGCCATTAAAAAATTCTATGTTAATGAATTTGGTAAAATAAATTCTTTATCAATGGAAGTAAAACAGAGAATTGTATTAGAGTACAGTGGTGTATGTTACATTTAAGGAGAAACACTAGGCTTATAGAGGTTGTAGGGATCCTGAAGATTGATATTTAATAAGGTTTGATCCGAGGAAGACGGGGGATAATGAGTAACTATATATAATTCATCGGATCAGGAGCCCATTATGAAGTCTGGTCTTGGAAATATATTCGTACGTTGTTCCTTGAAAAGTTATTGACTTTTTGCGATGGTGGAACATGATAAAGAATACAAAAATACGAAGACGTAAAAACGTTCTCCTTTCCTTATTTTTCCCTCTTCGTAGTTTCACCTTTATTGCTGTTATCCTGCTGCGTCTGTCCTCCTAAGAGCCTATCCCACTAGACAGGAAGGACACAGCCGCAGTCAGAGATGCTGACAGAGAAAGCCGGTCTCCGGCACGCTTCCTCCACCACACTCAAGCCCTGACACACCCGGCCAAAGGGAAAGACGGTCTTGGAGCGTGGTCCATCCTTCACGCTGATGCAAAACTGAGCAGCGGTCTCCGGCCGTGAGCTAGCCCGCACCACCTGAAGATGCGAAGGAGAGGCGTAGAAACTCAGAGTAATAAACAAAAGAACAAAGGTTTCATGAATTACTGGTGTACAAACTTTACAAGTAGATGAATAAGAAATAAAGATAAGATTGATAAATAATATTGATGAATGAGGCTGATGATTATAAAGTTTCTTGATCTCAAGACTGAAATTGCTGCACACTAACAGCTAGACGAATACGAAGAATTAGAGAATATTCAAACATCCTTCACTGCTTATATGAGCTCAGTTAAGTCCCTAAATTATTGGGAATGCTCGAAGACCCATAAGCTGTACTTCCTGGAGGAGCTTGATAAGCTCCACCAGGAGGAGGTTATCAAACTTATCAGTCTGGAGGAGCTTGATAAGCTCCTCCAAGCTATAAGTTCTACATCAATTGCACTCTGGTACCTGTGCCAAACTACGTGTCGCTGTGAGCACTAACAGCCTGACTGACCAACCTATCAGTCAGGAGACGTGGTGTATTATCATATCTTCTAGAGATAAGCCCCAAACCTATTAAAAAGAAAACCTCCTCCACAACAAGTGAAAAAAAATGAAGAATGTCTTTTATAATGTTGGAAGCCTCAGTAACTGTATTGGCTCCTAACATGGATCCCCATCAAATCGAAGCTCAGCGATGGACTAAATACGACAAGATTTCGTAACGACAAATCAGTTATGAGAAATCTACGGGGATGGAGCTACTGAGGTACCAGGGCCTCAAGGGGTGGCACATCGATATTATGTGATAAACATTATTTCTATTTAACATATACGAGTCTGTACGTGGAGAAAGTTATTCCCTGGGAAGGAGTAAAAAACAACTTGATGCCAGGGAGGGATCTCTTGATCTTGTGAACTGGAGCTGCCCTCCTTTTCCTCAGGTGAAACCTAAATCCCTCCTGTTTTCCAGGTGTTGTATGATCCGCTACGAGTTTAGTGCTTCCTCGTTTATACAATAATCGCAGCACATAGCCACACACATCCAAGTACTAATCCGCAAACAAAACAAAATCTTAACTAAATTTTAAGAATAATTCAGCCAAAACGGATCAATGAATTTACGTCCCATAGAGTTAACGTGAGTACTGAAAATTCAACTCGGGAAAAAATTTACCTCCAAGACGATAAAGACGACTGGTTATTGGGGGTTCAAAGCCTGTCGACTACACGGAAACTATTGAGGCTTTGTCACCTATTCACCACCAGTCAAAAAGAGTTCGATCACTTAGAAAGCGATTAAAGGAAACTGAGAGTGTCAATACACTGAGAGATATACAGCTCGTGGTAACGACAGAAGCGGTTTCTGAAGATTGCTGAAAGAATGACCTCATTCAGAATGTTTCTTGCTTCTCTCATCAACGCTTGATTTATTACTTACTTCAGCCGACGCTTTAAAAATTTAAGATATTTTTTATAGTAAACACTGTAATAATAATTTTATTATTAATAATAATAATAATAATAATAATAATAATAATAATAATAATAATAATAATAATAATAATAATAATAATAATAATAATTATCATAATAATAATAATAATAATTGTTATTATTATTATTATTATTATTATTATTATAATATCTCATTTTGCTGCAACAACCTAAAAAACTAATGACTGGAGCGCTGGCTCATGACAGGATCATGATGGATGATCTATCCTGAGCCAGTTATCTCATTAGAACACCGAGAAAAATTGCGTACTTGTCAATTACCGTACATTATCTAAACGTTGATATCCTTATTCATAAAAATAATTCAGCACGCTTGTCCAACGCAAATTCGCTCTATGCAAGCTCGTACCTGGGGTCAAGAGGGATACCAGTGTATATTAAGTATCCTGGACCCGTACTAAATTAATAATAGTTAATCGCTCAGTTAATATGTCTAATCCTCTCTTCCCTGGAAAGTTAGTGTGACTTGTAAATGGTCGAAGTCGAGCCGAAGCGTCGTTATTTGCTGCTCTCTCCTATGTGCGGGTTATTGTGCCATTTTGTTTTGTATTAATGTTAAAGATTTTGATGTGATAAGGAGACATTTGACATGGATAATTTAAAAGGTTGCAAGCACCAACAATGCTCCTATTTGTAACCTATCTTCATTTTACACATTTTGTTTTCGTAGACATTTTCCAGCGTCAGTTTCTAGAAGTTCCCAGCTAACATATTAAGCTTAGTAAATAAATTAGACACATGTGCAACACTTTGGTATCTTTATTGTCGAAACGTTTCGCCACACAGTGGCTTCATCAGTCCAATACAAAGAAGAACAGTGAAGATGTATCTCCATTATTAAGTGTAGTGAGGTTAGAGCAAGTTACGTTAACTTATTTAACTACAGTAACGTAGCATTACATAAGTAGCAGAATTTTGTAAGCCTAACTTAAAGTTAACATAAATATTATCGTTATAAATATTTGTAGGTGGAGGAGATAAACCCATAGGGATTATGCAGTGTTTGGAGGATACGAAGCAATAAGGTTCAATTCTAGTAAGGTGAGAATAGGTCCGATTCCTTGGATCACGAGCTCCTCCCAGGCATCAAGAAACTTTCCATCAGGTGGGTTAACATAAGTATTTTTATTATTATTCTTACGAAATCTGCTAACTTTATAAGACCGCAGAACACTGCGAGGCTGAGGGAAGGTATCGGCTAAAGGCAGTAGTGTGATTAAGCAAGGAAAGTCAAAGAGTCAAAGTGAGGAAGTTTGGGCGCTGAAAAAAAAGCCTGCGATAAAGAGTGCAATCAATCAAAAGGGTGTTTAACCTGACAAGCATCGCAAAAACGCCTTACAAATCGTCTTTTGCAAGTTAGGAGGAGCCGGATTTATAGTCAGGTACGGTGTAGAAGAATATTTAAACTTTAGCTTCCCATTCCCCCACTCACTATCGAGTCGAAAAAGGCAACCCTCACACATTTACTAAAACAAACGACCTGAGGGCTAGAAGAGAGGTATATACTAGTGACCAACAGAGGACTATGTGGCAGCCACAGGATCAAAAGGACCACAAATGCATTTCCTCGACAGACATCGGAGAGATAAAAGATCAACAGATTGAGTCAGCGGATCTGGGACTGACCCTCCCGTTCATCGTCTATCCCCTCACCAAAGAAGCGTGAAGCGTGTTGCTCACCAAAGAGCAGCAGCTCCACGGACAGCCTCGACTGTCAGGCAAGAAACATGATGCACATTTCCAAGCCAAGACCATTTTTAAAACCTAATCTATAAACTGTGCTCAGCAAGAAATATTTAGTCCTGGCCAGGTACACAATTTCAGAAACTTTGGACAGTGTTGTGACAGCTGCTATGGACGTGTAGTTCTTAGATTTGGTAGCGTTCAGTACCTTTTAATTTAATTAAAGATGAAAAATAAAAAACACATTGAAAAAATAGCCAGGAAGACTGAGGTGTATAATCAACGTATGAGTGGATGAATAAGACATGCCCTATGATCACATAAGCAATCTGTATGCTTCTGAAAATAACTCTCTAGATCCTTAGTTAAAAAACATATCACATGACTAGTTATGACAACATCAAAAGTTTATCTAATAGTCTGTTAATGCCGTTTAAGGTCCGAGTGTGGGAGCAGCGTCTGTATAACAACATCCTCCACTGCGAGTATGGGAGCAGTGTCAGTATAACAACATCCTCCACTGCGAGTGTGGGAGTAGTGTCAGTATAACAACATCCTCCACTGCGAGTGTGGGAGCAGTGTCAGTATAACAAAATCCCCACTGCGAGTTGGAGCAGTGTCAGTATAACAACACCTCCATTGCGAGTGTGGGAGTAGTGTCAGTATAACAACTCCCACTGCGAGTGTGGGAGTAGTGTCAGTATAACAACATCCTCCACTGCGAGTGTGGGAGCAGTGTCAGTATAACAACATCCTCCACTGCGAGTGTGGGAGTAGTGTCAGTATAACAACATCCTCCACTGCGAGTGTGGGAGCAGCGTCAGTATAACAACATCCTCCACTGCGAGTATGGGAGCAGCGTCAGTATAACATCTTCCACTGCGAGTATGGGAGCAGTGTCAGTATAACAACATCCTCCACTGCGAGTGTGGGAGTAGTGTCAGTATAACAACATCCTCCACTGCGAGTGTGGGAGTAGTGTCAGTATAACAACATCCTCCACTGCGAGTGTGGGAGCAGCGTCAGTATAACATCTTCCACTGCGAGTATGGGAGCAGCGTCAGTATAACATCTTCCACTGCGAGTATGGGAGCAGCGTCAGTATAACATCTTCCACTGCGAGTGTGGGAGCAGCGTCAGTATAACAACATCCTCCACTGCGAGTATGGGAGCAGCGTCAGTATAACATCTTCCACTGCGAGTATGGGAGCAGTGTCAGTATAACAACATCCTCCACTGCGAGTGTGGGAGTAGTGTCAGTATAACAACATCCTCCACTGCGAGTGTGGGAGTAGTGTCAGTATAACAACATCCTCCACTGCGAGTGTGGGAGCAGTGTCTAAACAACATCCTCCACGCGAGTGTGGGAGTTTGGGGTCAGTATAACAACATCCTCCACTGCGAGTGTGGGAGCAGCGTCAGTATAACAACATCCTCCACTGCGAGTGTGGGAGTAGTGTCAGTATAACAACATCCTCCACTGCGAGTGTGGGAGCAGTGTCAGTATAACAACATCTCCTCCACTGCGAGTGTGGGAGCAGTGTCAGTATAAACAACATCCTCCACGCGAGTGTGGGAACAGTGTCGGTATAACAACAAACCCCACTGCGAGTGTGGGAGCAGTGTCAGTATAACCCCATCCTCCACTGCGAGTGTGGGAGCAGTGTCAGTATAACAAAAATCCTCTACTGCGAGTGTGGGAGCAGTGGTGAGTATAACAACATCCTCCACTGCGAGTGTGGAACAGTGTCAGGTATAACAACATCCTCCACTGCGAGTGTGGGAGCAGTGTCAGTATAACAACATCCTCCACTGCGAGTGTGGGAACAGTGTCAGTATAACAACATCCT